TCTTACAGAAAATTAATCCACAAATCAGAATATGACAAGATTTTGCTCTTCCACACCATCAAAACAGAGCTGTCATGAAGCAATGTTTTTCCCCTTATAGTCTAGCGTTTGCAAGGAGTTAAGATAAAACCTAAGATAAGACTTTAGCTCCCACATACAGGTAAATCCAATACTACACAAAACAGCATTCCAAACAGAATTATCCCCTGGGGGGTGTCTCATCATGCCCTTGTCCACATCTGCCAAATTCACACCTGGGGTGAAGAGGAGCACATGTTTATGCTAGCATTTGGATAGAGCAGGCCTCAGACTTTGTTTGGTTAGAAATGGTTAGCACACAGCCTGTTGCCGTTAAAAACTATTGGCAATACCTTCTTGTCTTTAAGCATTTTCATCTCCCTTGATGCACTTGCTTCCACATGAGCAATCAGTGAGTCACTGTAAAAACACCCATCACTATTTTACACTGATGGCCACTTGCTCGAGCCTGGGCTGGTGTTATAGGTGTACATGAAGTTGAATCTCCTGTACAGCACCTGATATAACTGAAATTAAGAGGTTCTAGTAGTTTCCCTGAGAAGGTAAATCCTGCCACATAGTACCACCTTACCCAGCCTGCACAGAGTATAATCGAGTCCTAAAGGCAACGAAAGGCATGTTACCACAGACTTAGTACAGGTCAAGGAGCTGCCTCACACTTTTCATGAATATTGCTGTCCTTCAAACTCAACACCATTAAGTGACACAACATTTTCATTGCACTTTCCTAATACAGGCATTTAGATCTTGTTTTATGCATTCTTAAGTGCTCTCACAGACCTTAATCTGAGTTCTCTTAAAAGCCTAAAACCACGTCAGCCCCCTCACCCTGCTCTTCTGTGCTGGAATTTACTCCTTTAAACATCTACCCCGCTTCTTTTACCTTCACCATTATCCAGCAGTGGACTTCCTTGCAAACCTGCCTTCTCCAGCTGCATCACCTCACAACGTACCAGCTCATCCCTCCCATCCTTTAACCTCTTCCACCCTGGCCCCATCTCTCACGTTAACACCACGCACCCCGCACCGGCACAGCACCCTCCCTCCCATCAGTAATTGCCACCAAATCCCGCAATCAGCCCCACAGCTGAATAGCGAATTCAAGGACTGCCCAGCTCCCGGTGTTCTGCTGGCCCGGCCCCGGCTGCTCCCGGCGTTCAGGATGGGGAGTAGTGGGCATTCTCCGGCAGTGCCTTGGGTCAGGAGCAGCGCTGCCATCGATGATTAGATTTCCTAATAACATAGAAAGGAGGGAACTGGCTGAAAAGGAAAGGGGTTTAGATTAAAACATCTGTTAAAATTCATTTATTTTCGTTTTGGTGCGAAGAAGCTCGTTTTGGAGATGAAATGTAAAGAAGCGCTGTGCAATTTCAGGGTTTGGTTTTGTTTTCTCTGGGGTTTATGTCTGGCTTTCGAACTTCAGCCCAGCAGGCGGCTGGGGTATTTTGCGCGTGGTTTGGTTTGGGTTTTGTTTTAGGTTCAGACTTTTTTATTGTTGCTGTTGGTTTGGTTTTTTGCTAAGAAAAAGGCAGAGGAAAGCAAAGGGGAAAGTGGGAATGACCGGTAACAAGGCGAAACCAATTTTTGCACAAGGTTTTCAGTATTATGTATATGAAACCCGGGAGGTGGAAAAAGGAATGAATTCTCACGCCCCCTTAACTGACACTAAAAGCAAAGGAAAACCTTTCAAACAGCCCGTTCCTCTCCCGTTCTAACTACTACTCCACTCTGCCCCATCTGTTGAGCTCTAGGCCGACCGCCGATCCCTGTGTGAAGGTTCTCGGTCAGCGGCGGCCGCTCGTTGCCGGCTCGTCCTGCGGAGCCGCTCCTCCTCGGTTTGTTCCACCTGCTTAATCACATTTAAATGTATTAAATACTTTCCTATTGTCGGGGAGTAGAAGTGATTGCTGCAGTTGCCATGGGGACGTAATGCCAGCATGGGGGGGAGGATGCCCGCACCACCAGAGGTGTCCCTTCTCTGTCCTGAGCTGCGCTCCCACTGTCGAGAAGACCCCGGGAGACGGAGATCCCCCTGGCTCGTACCCGCCGCCGGGCATCACGATGATGTGGTTTACCCAGTGGGACGGCTAAAAGCCGTTTTCCTCGGAGCGGTGCCACCGTGAGCCCGGCTGCAGCGGTGTTTGCTCAGCCCCGGCCCGCGGGCGGGACGGACGGAGGCACCGGCCCAGAGGCCGCCCCGCCCCGATGAGGGGCACCGGGGCCGGCCCGGCCTTCCCCGCCCCTCAGGGGCTGCGGGGCTGTTTCAAGGCCGGGAAACGAGGCATCAGGTCCCGGGACAGCCTCGGTGGCGGGGCACGGAGCCGTCCCGGGTCAGCGGATCTGGTGTCGTTCCTCGGCCTCCAGCAGAGCAAGGCCCGCTGGAGGGGCTGAGTGCCAGGACGCCGTATCCGCGGTACCACCGCCCTTCCCCGCCGCTGGCTGGCCCCGGCGGAGAGGCTGTGCCGCCAGCGGGGCGCACATCAGGGCAGCTGCGGAGCAACAGGCCGGGCCGGGGCCGGAAAGGAGGCAGAGCCGGAGAGGAGCCACTCCGCTCCGACACCCTCTGTCCCCGGGTTTGCGGGGAGCGCATAGAGCAGTTTTGGGGAGAGGCGGCCCTTGATTGGAACGGGGGTGGCGGAGATTTCCCCCTTCGTCTTACAAATAAAACAACCGGTCTGTAAAGGCGAAAGGGACACATCACCCTCTGCATCTCCCCTTCCGGCCCCGGCACTGCTCTCCTCTCCGGGCTGCCGAGGCGGTCTCGCAGCGAGCAGGGCTCAGAGAGGTTCATTTTAGGTGAAGGAATGTCATTTCGCTACTAAATGGTTAGTCTAATTTGATCTTTATTATGCCGTGGATTAGGGCTGATTCATATTAAACACGAGTGCTGTTAATACAGCGCCGGAACGTGTCCCGCTGTATGTACAGCCGCCGCGGCTGCAGCCCCGCCGCTGCGTGCGACTCGCGGATTAAGATTTAATTAAGAGGGAAGTTCTCTGGCGCTCACCGCAGCCTCTCTGCTTCACAAATAATTTATAGTCAGCTCCGCGGATTTTATTCAAGTGACAGCATTTTATTTTACTCTAAAAGGGACCTGAATATTTCATGTTGTGCCAGAGGCTTCTGTTGTGAGAACCTCTCCCAGGCAGCTCCAAACCCAAGGGGGTTTTCACTTTTAATCTACGGGAATTACCTCAGTAGGGACAATGTATCAGATTCTCTTACCCCCTCCTCCTCCCGCCAATTTAGCAGCCTAAACTATCCATATGAAAGTTAATCGTCGTGATCCCCATTGTCGGCTGTATAAATCCGAGCTCAAGCCAACCTCCAAGACACGGCAACAACTCTGATAAATTGTCCTGCTCGCCTAACTACACAGGAATGGCTTTTATAATTAAAAGGGGAGCTGAGTTAAATCAACAGCTCCTAAGCCCTTCTCAACAGTGCTAGAATGGGAGAAATGTGGCGACCTGATTTCTTTAAGTAGCAGCTCTTTGTAGCCCATTCATAATCCCAGATATGGAAACCCATCCTGCACAAAGTCAGCTGCCAACCGGAAAAAAAAAGGGGGAAAAGGGGAAAAAAGTTTATTCAGATGCTCAAAGTGCACTTTTTTTTCCAGTCTAACATAACCCTGGCACTTTATAACCAAACAGACAACTCCTTTTCCAATTAAAGTGGAATTAGGAAACTCAATCAAATTAGCTCACTATTAAAGTCCTTCTTTATTAAACCGTTTTATTGTAGTAATATTAAATTTCACCCGCTCTTGGAACACGAGACTTTTAAAAGTTTCCCTTGTGATATTGATTTGGCTGCTCCCAAGACGGATCAGGGTCACAAGTATTTACCTAGGTGGAATCTGTAATATTTACTTTTTATTATTATTATTATTATTTAAGAAAAATCTTCAAATTGTATCCAGCTTGATCGATCGCTCGAGGGAAGGAAGAATTGCATTTTACTTGCCCCTGTCCTTTGATTTTACCCGGGGGGTCCCCCAATAGCTGCGGCGGGACGGTCCCCTCCCAGAGCCACCAGTCCAATGACTAGTTGGTAGGAGCTGTGCTGTCAGCTCCCAGCCAATGTTTACACAGTTATATTTGAAGTGAGAAAGTAAACAGTCCAGCTGTGCCACGGTGCGGTTCCGTGGGATTAGGTTTCCATACCAACGAACTTTAGGAGCTTTTACAGTCTTAATTCAACCATGCACTTAACTGGTTCTTTGTGAGTAATAGTTTTCTTGGGCCAAAAACTCCCAGGACTGGTAAAAGTCGTGCCCCGGCTTTCGGGAGCATCGCATCGCTGGATGCAGGGGGAGCACGGCCGCTGCACCCCCAGTGTATGATAAATATATAGAGGTAGGAAAGGCCTTCGGATTTTTTGGTCTTGAAGAACAGGGGGGCACCATTGCCAAAAAAAAAAAAAAGAGAGAGAGAAGGGGGAAAAAAGGATGAAAAAAACCAAACAATAAATTAAAAAAATAATAAAAATAGAAATAAAATAATAATAAAATATAAAATAGAAATAAACACACACCAATAAAAAAAAAACAACCACAACCCACTCGTGAAGCTTTTGCTCTTGAACCGAGGGGAAAGATTTGGAAGGATGCACAGGACCAGAAGTAAACCAGCGGGTTCTTTCCTGTGTGTATCCCCACCACCACCCAGCACTGGGGTTGTGGTGTCTTAACTCATTCGCGCCTGTCGCAAACACGCATTCTGAAAAACCATCATTATTTGTATATCCCTTCGGTTGTCTTGACATAGAAACAATTAAAACTCACATTCAAGTTTCAGACACGAGGGGAAAGGATCTCTCTGTTGCTACACAGCAGGCTTTTGCTCTAAGCATGCTTTTCTCTATGCGATAATGCCACGTTTCCTAAACATAACAAAAAAAAATCAGTGCAATACCAAAGGGAAAAAAAAAAAATCGTTAAATTTTCACCCCTCTGATATTGATATTTTTTCCTCCCACCATAAATAATAAAAAGACCAGAACCAGCAATAAATGTATGTGACAATTTCAGTTCGTAAGGAAATTGCTCTGGTTTGTAGGCTTTGTTTTTATTTATAAATTTCCCGAAGGATATCTGGTTTGACCATGATAAAAATGTAGTAAACATATATGTACTAATTGCATAAACTTCTTTAAATATTGACTGTCCTCGTCAAGTGAATTTCCCAAAGAACACTTCCATCATCTGGTAAAATATCACTTGCCATTTATAAGACCTTTTTTTTTTTAATAGAAAATAACATTTATTTCTATGAAATGGGAACACAGAATTACCTGTTAGAAACAGCAAGAAGTTTGCTACATTGGAACAAGAAAGCAATTTCCTTGCAGATCACAAATGAAGGAGGCTTATTAAACCGTCATACACCATTGGCGCCGGGGTCCTACGGACAGTTACAAATATATCTACTTTCCAATGTTATATACAGATCGTAACATTTGGGGGTGGGGGGCGGGAAGGAAAAGGCTTTCAATTTGACAATATGTTTAATCTATATGCCTGGTAAGTATTACAATGCGCTGTCTAACCTTTAGCTTAACGTTAATACCAAGTTCACCTACGAGTTACATTAATAACTTAGATTTCCATTTTATAACATTATACACTTGCTAGTATACATATATATATGTATGTGTGTGGGGAAGAGTGTGTAGTGTGTGTGTAGCGTGTGTGTGCGTGCACACCCCACGACGCACCAAGGATATCCATGCTTATGGCCATAAGCAACAAAGAGTGACTCATGTCTGGACAATGAAAGTGCACCTTTATCACCGATTTAACACCTACATCTGTCCGCGCCGGGCTCTGCACGCCACCATCGCCTGTAAGGGGGGGGGAAGAGGGGGCAGAAAGTCACCCGTGCCCGTCCCTCCTGTGCCTACCTAGCTACTTCTACACAGCTGGGCTTTGGGGAGCTGCCCCTCGCTATTGCTTCTCGGGGGTGTTGTTGACCATGGGCCCGTAGAGCCCGCCGGAGTAGACCTGCTCCTTGTGCACGGCGGAGCGGTCCCGCATGAGGTCGCTGAAGGCGTAGTCCACGGGCGGCCGGAACCCGAGGGTGGGCATCAGCCCTGCCGTGGAGTAAGGGGTCATGAAGGCCAGTCCCCGGCTGTGCGCCGAGTAGGCGAGGCGCAGCGGGTTGAGTCCCAGGTGGGTGCCCAACGGGTAGCCGCCGGCCTCGGCCCCGAAGTGCGTGGCGTTGGGCTGCAGGGGGGAGAAGGCGGAGCGGCTGCCCAGCGTGCCGATGGCGGGGGCCATGGCGCCGGCTATCAAGGGCCGGTGGTGGCCGGCGGCCGCTGCAGGGGTAGGCGGAAGGCCTTGCAAGGAGCCGTCCCGGGCCCAGCCCTCCTCGGGGCCCTTCTCCGGGCCGCGGTTGTTGAGGATCTGCTCGATGGCCTGGACCACGTCCCCGCCGCAGCCTTGCAGCACCAGCTCCAGCACGCTGCGCTTGTGCGCCGGGAAGACGCGCGTCAGGATGTCGATGGGAGTCCGCTGCCGGCCGCCTGCCGAGGGCGACGGGTCCTGCTCGTCCTTGTCCGCCTCCGAGCCCGAGTCCGAGCCCAGTGGGCTGATGGAGCCCGGGCTCTCCTCCCCCTCCTTCGGGCCCTTGGAGACGGGCGAGCTCAGGAAGGACTCGCCGTCCCCGTTCTCCGAGCCCGAGCCGTGCCGAGCTTCCGGGGAGGAGGTGCCGGGCACGGACTCGCCGTCCGGGGAGAGGGGCTTCCCGCCCGCCTGCTGCGGGGTCACGGCGCGGCTCGGCAGCAGCGTCTTGGGGAACAGCTCAAACTTCTGCATCTTGGACTCTGCGGGGCGGGAGGAGAAGGAGAAAGAGAGCGTCACTGCGGCTGCCCCGGCTGGCGGTGGGGCCCACCCGCCGGGACACCTCCCCGGTCCCCGCTACCGCCTCTGCCGCTCCCTTCCCCGCATCCCACCGGTCGCCCCTGAGGGCGCGGTCTTACCTGAGGCGCCGGCGCCTCCCTCGCCGCCGCCGCCGGCGCAGACGGAGCCGAAGACCTCGTACGCGGGCCGGGGCGGGATGATGCCGTTGGCGGCCGCCAGCGCCAGGCCCTCGGCGGTGCCGTAGAGCAGCTGCAGCTCCCTCGCCTCGTTCTCCTCCTGCGCCTGCTGCCGGCGCAGCGCCACCTGAGCCGCCATGACGCGCTGCCGCTCGGCGATGAGCGTGCACTTGGCGCACATGCAGTCCTTCCACCGGCAGTACCGCTTGTGCCCCTTCAGCGCCGACACCACGCCGTGGTTGCGGCAACGGGCGCACTTGGGCGTCCGCGGGTACTTCTCTGCCGCCCGCAGCAGCAGCGGCGGAGCCCGCAGTAAGCTCCCGGCTACGCTCACGGGCAGCGTGGCAGCCGCCGCTGCGGCCGCCGCCGCCACCGAGCTGGGGGGCACCGGAGGGGGAGCGGCGGGCACGCTGGGCAGCTCCGACCGCAGCTCCATCGCGGCGAGCCCGCCCCGAAACAGCGACCCCCCCTCACGGGTCTCCCACGGAGCAACGCGGGGTGGGGGGGAACCCCGCGGAGATCCCGCGCCCGGACACGAGAGGAGGCTCCCGGCGCAATCACGGGTGGGGGGCAAGCGGAGCACCGACGGCTGGCATGCAAACCCCAGCGCCTACCAGCTCGCCGACCCGGCCCCCCCGCACACTGGAGTGGGGCTCAAGTGAGGAGGAGACCGGCGAGAACCCCCCTGCGCCCTCCCCCCCCCACACACACCCGAAAAGTGAAATCTAAGACAAGAAAATCCAATCAAACTTAGATCTCTCGCGCTTCCGTGCTCTCCGCGCGCATCTGGCCGGGCAGCGCCAAGTCCATCGCGCCGGGCTCAAAGCCGAGCTCCACCGTCCGCGCCCGCGGGGTCGCCGGTGGGAACCCGAGTTCACCCGCGCTGGTCCCTAAACTCAGCTCCCCTTTCCCCCTAGTAACTACAGTCACAGGCCAAAAGCGTCCCTTCAAAGACCAGTCCAGCACCTTCAGCGGCAGGATCCCTCTCCACGAGCCGCGGAGGCTAAAATCCAGGAAGAGAATTAATTTTTTCCTAAAGAAAATTAACCAAGATCACCCCGGCTCCCTGCCAGCAGCGCCGCAGCCGGGCGGACACCCCGGAGCACCCCAGTCCCGCCTGGGCTGGGCTCACCCGCCGCGGCGAGCCCCGAGCAGGAGACCGGCGGCGGTGCAGTTGGAGGGGGCAGAACCGACGGCAGGGCCCGGCGCCCCCCGGGACACGCTGCTTCTGCTGGTGTTGGTGGTGCTGGTGGTGCTGGTGCTGGTGGTGATGGTGGTGGTGGTGGTGCTGGTGCTGCTGCCGCCTGTCGCGTGCGGCCCGCGCGGCCGGAGCTGCAGGCAGAGCGCGCCGCAGCCACTCGCGCTATTGTTGCGCCCCGCGTTGCCATTAGGCAACGTTTGACAACAATGTGGCGCCTGCTATTGGCCAGGGGCGGGAAGCGCCGCGCTGATTGGCCGGAACGGCTCCTGCCCGAACGCTCCGCGACCGCCGGGACCGGGCGGGACCCGCGGGTGTGTGCGCGCGCTCGTGTGTGCGCGGGGCGCGCGTGCCTGCGCCCGCCAAAATACCCCCCCACCACCACCCCCCCACGCACCCGTCCCGCCCTCCCGCGGCCCCCAGAGCTTGGCTCTGCTTTGGGTGCGCGTTGCTTTGCTCCTCCTAAAAACCCAGTGGAAGCCGCGCTTCCGACGGGGGTTACGTGGGGTTGGGGGGTGTTGGGGGGGGGGGGGGGGGGGTGTTCGTTTCGGGTTTAGTTTGGTTTTGTGGGTGTCGCTTGTCAAAAGGGTGGGGGCGATGCGCTGTGAAAGGTGGCAATTCACTTCATGGTGTCCCCGCAAGGTTTTGGTTTATAACGCAATGTAACGATGTATCTCTCCTTCCTCTTTCCTTCCCTCTTCCTTCCTTCATTCTTTCCTTCCATCTCCCTCACTCCCCCCCTTTTTCCTTCTCTTTCCCCCACCCCACAGCCGCAGGTGAAGCGCCGCGGGGGACCCCCGAGGTGAGTGTGATCCCCGGGCCGCGCACCCCGCCAAGTCCGCTCTCTCTCCTTCCCTCCATCCCTTGTGCGTGATCCGCGTTCAACAGGCGCCTTCCCCGCGGGGACAATAGACCCGAGGGACGGGTGCTGGGGAGGGAGGAGGAGGCCGTGGGGCTGGTAACTGTATATTAACCCCGAAGCTTTTGTTTTAGCGTTAACGGCCCGGGTTTGACGTCACCCCCGCTGGTAACGGGAGGAGGCAGAGCTTCGGCAGCCCCGGCGGGAAACAACGCCGCCCGCTCTCCGCGGGCTCTCCCCTCTCCTTCCCACGAGGGATCTCCATCCTCCGCAGCGCTCTTTAAAGGTCTTTGTGTGTCCGTCAGTCCTTCCCCGCCTGCCGCTGCCCGGGGCCGGACCCTCCTCCCTTCCAGCACCCCGCTACCAGACCTGCTCCCGATGCGCTGCCCCCCGGCAGGGCCCCGAGCGCCCCGGGCCTGTGTTACCCCCATCCCGTGGCTGGGAACGGCGCAGGACCGAGGAGGACAAGCGGCACTCGCGGCTGCTACGCTGCCCCTTCCCTTTTGTCCCCTTTGGCTGCGACAAGCACAAGTGCAGAGCCCCCAAACTTCCCCATATTTCTATAGCTCTCCGTTCCTCCTCTCTGTTTGTTTGGTTGGTTGGTTGTTTTTTTTAAAATCAAAAGAACGCTTTCCCAACCGAGTTTCCGCGTGTGCAGCTGCCACCCACTCCTCGTGGTTTAGGTGCTAGAACACCTTTATTCAATAAAGCCGCGAAGTCAAAATATATCCCATTTAATTTTATTCCCAACCACTCATTTTACTCTCCGGGGAGAATTACTCAGATCATCTGATTTAACTGGGAATTTGTAGGACTCGATAGGACTGAATAAGAAACATCTAAATTGTTGCTTTACGTAAGTTTACCATGGAGAAAATGTTGTCTCCCTTCTTCCTGCAGTTAAGTTTGGGTTTCGGGTGGGTTTTTCCTGCGAATACCTTTCCCTTTCCCCGCCGAGGCAACCTGCCATCAGCCACAACGCAGGACACGGGCTACACTGGTTTCCCCTTTTCTTTCAGCTTTGATTTAAATTGCAGGGCTGGGTTATCCTTGCCCGTTATGGCGGGTTTAAACGATTTATTTTGGAAAAAAAACATGGAAAAAGAAAATAATAAAAAAAAAATAAAACAATAAAACCAAACAGTGGGTTATTAACCTGCCAGTGAAAAGCGGTGGTTTGTGTTCAGAGCCTCATGCCTTCAGTGACACTGCACAGGGCGGTGTAGAAGTTGGACGCGCAATGTGTAGTGTCTCTAGGTCCGCATCCAGAGGCGTTACTCACAGTTTCCGCAGCCTCCCGCCGCGCATCCCCCAGTGACCAGACGGAAGAGTTGGGCACCGCGTCCTGGTGCGGAGAGCGTAAGAGACCTGGTCCCTCCTTCTCATGTTCATCCCAAATCAGCACTACAGACACCCCCCACTCAAACACTCAACCACGAACTGCTTTTAAAATACAACAGACAGACATCGAAATAGTCGGGGTTACTAATAAAGACTAAGTTAAATGTTTATTGCAAGAATATGTAAGGCAGCGCCAGGTATCAGCCCATACCAAAGACATTTGTCGAAAGCTCCCCCGCTATATGCCGAGCGTGTAGACGTTTCCCACCCGCTGTCCCCACAGGAGCAGGCTGCCGCCCCGACGCAGGCGGATGGGCGCCGGGAAGGGGCTGCAGAAGAAGCTGCCGCTCCCGGGCAGGGGCCGCTCTTCGCTGGGGTCAGCCCGGCCCCAGAGCCGAGGGCTCCGCTCCGGGCTCGGCTCAATCCTCCGAGCAAAACCAGACCATTCTCTTGCCTCTCCCCACCTCCGGTCGCTGAAGGGGCACTTTCAAACGGGATCCAACTATTTTTTTGGACGCCGGTCTCTGACAAAGTGCGTTTAGAACTGGAGAACCCCGAGCCCGGAGCCTCGCTTTGCACTGGTCTAATAAAACGATAAAAACAATTTCTCTCCCGCCCTTATTTTCCTTTGGAAGCTTCCACCGTGAACCAAGACAAACAGGGCGCACATTTCACATCTTTCCATTCAAACAAAACCCAACTGCCTGCGAGTTATCCCGGAGACCAGAGCCGCGGCCCGGGCTCGCCGTGGCTTGATAGACGTCCCCCCGCCTGGGCCCGAGAATGGACGGGGTGCAGCGGGGAGGTTGCTCTTTCTGTCCCCCCTTCCCCCCCCCCCCCCTTTCTCTCTGCTGCAATTCATTTCTGTTTGGCGAAGCGCGATAAAATCTGCATGTACATCCCCGCTCTGGTGTCTTTTTGGGAGGGAGGATGTTTGCTTTAGGCACCCCCGGAGTAGCCGCACTCCAGCTGCAAAGGCGGGTGTGCTGTGCACCCGGAGAGGGACCCTACCAGGTTACAAGGGAAAAGAGATATTAACTGCTCTAAAACCCCCAAGACTCGTCCCGCTCCCGGCTGGGCTGGGGGAGCCTCATCCGCCGCCGTCAGACCGCGGCGGGGACCAGCTGCCGGCCCCGGCTCTTTGCATCCATCCGCAGGGGCTCGCCGGGCACTGGGGGAGCGACCCCGGTTTGGGACCGGGCCCCAGGGCCGGTGGCGAGAGAATCCCAGCGGCGGAGGCGCTGCCAGGGCAGGGCGCGGAGCCCCGGTGGGATGGGGGGGGTTCAGGTCAGGGATCCCGGGGCGCCGGCCCGGTTCGTGCAGCCGGTTTGGAAGCGGCGTCGCTACGCTGCGGGAACGGGGCAGAAACGGCGCGTTTCGTTGCGCGGTGCCCCGGTTGGTGCTTAATTATCCCGCGACGTGCTCGGCTGTGGCAGCCTCCGGCAAGGCGCGGAGCCGATGCTCACATCTGGGTGAGCCGGTAACGCACCGGACGGGGGCTATTATATATTTATATTGAAGAAGCCCCGATCTCCCCAGTGTTTATTCCTCTCCTCACTCCCACCGCTTCCCCTAAAGGCTTGCAATGCATCTCAGCTCCCGTGCAAAAGTTTGAGGGGGCCGCATGCACCGGTGCTGCCTCATCTTCCCCCAATTACAGTAGTAAAATCTTAATTAAAAAGAGCCCGTCCATTGGCTGTCAGGCTGGGGAAGGCAGACACGCAGCACCCGGGAGCATCCCAGGGAAATATAGTTCTTGATTAGTGTATTTTCATCTCGTTCTTAGCGGAAGACAGTTTGTAAGTACCTGCTAATGTTAGTGCTCTTTAAGGTTTCAATTGTTCTAAGGGGTTTGCCATTGACTTTTTCATTATTTACCTACTGAATCAAAGTAAGCAAATGCCATCTGTTTCCCTGCTGCTATCATCTTCACTTTTAATTATCCGCCCAGCAGCCTAATAGAGATGATATTAAACTAAATCTTTTTGACATTAAAAGTAATTATCCCCAAACCAATATTACAAGAATGAAAATTACCCTTCCCCACCACCACCACCACCACCAAGAAAAAGGCATATTCCTCCCAGTCCAGGCAACCCTTTCGGATCCCGGAGCGGGGAGAGGCAGACGGGGCTCCCGTTAGCCCGGACTCCTCAAGTATTTGAAACATTATTAACTCGCTTTCCAGGCTCCCAGTGGGGGAGGAAAAAGAGACCGGGAACAGGGATTTGTGGAAGGAAATAAGGGGAAATCGGGGCTCCACGTGTTCCTACGTGGGCTCCTTCCACTTCTCCCCGCAGCGGCCGCGGGACAAGGAGTAGCCCGGCTCTGCACCGAGGGTACGGCTGGGACCGGGGCTGCCCGACCCCTACCCCAATCCCAACCCCAGGCACAGCACCGGGCCTCGGGAAAACACCGGGTCATAAACATAAACATCAACACACACACGCAGCCCCTCGAAGTGCTCTGCCCCGTCCAGCGGCACCGGCCGCCTCGGCGTCGGGGGCACGTCATTGCAGAGACATTAGGAGCCGGTTCGTAATTAAGGGGAGGGCGGCGGGTCCCCCAGCAGATGGCCGGTCGCTGAATTACCTCCACAGAGTCATTTCGCTTCGACTCAGGCTTCTCCGCCATTTCCCCTCCGACTCGCTTTAATACGAGCCGGAGCCGCGTTCCCCCATTTCCTTTAATATGTGCTAAACTGAGCTAATTTTAATTGCATGTTTCAACTTTGCTAATTAAATAGAGCGGTCTAATTAAAAGTGACTAGGGAACAGTTTTAATTCAGCCCTCCACTTTTTTAAC